GAACATGTGAGGCTGGCTAAGGCGCACATTGGACGCGTCTCGGACGAACAGCGGTGAGCGGGTTTTTAAGCGGTATGCGAGGCAAAATTTTAGCGATAAAATGTATCGGTATGCGGATTAAACGTTATGTGATGCCAACGGTATGCGGGGGTCCACTGTATATTTGATGTATATATACTCATAAATTCTAGCAGCTTCAGATCAAGCAGGAGAAAGCTGGTAGGCCCACATGTGAGAGAATGGGTCTGTGTGGTCAGTGTGCACCATATAAAGAAATACTGCAGCACGCAGTGCATAATGAAAAAAAAAAAATCTCTGACCATGTTTTTGGATTAAAACGCCAATTTTGAGGTGGATTTTTGGATAGTTTTTATGGTTATATTCTCATTTTCGTAGTCACATTTGATAGAATGGAAAACATGTTATAGAAATAGAGGTGATTTTGATTGATTTTACTATGAAAAGGACCTTGAAATGGAGCTCAAATTAGGAGAAATGTTTGATTTTTGCCGATGTTCAAGAGTAAACAAATGATATCATTGTCCAATAAATGTCCAACTAGCCATTCTAATATACAGTCATGAATGGGTTGATGTTATTTACACACTTATTAGAATATTGCAGTAGTCTGCATAACAGTAAATTTTTTTTTTGTTTGAAAAAAAATTCAAAATAGAAAGCAAGAGTAATATCAGAGGGGCTGGAGACGTGACTGATGAACAAAGAAAATATTATTTTACAACCAGGAATGTCTACATTGTTCATTCTAGACACTATTTTAAAATTGGCATACTTTTTAGTTTGCATGAAATTGGTCAAATTGCCAGATTCTGACGTCTTTATTGGGTAGTTGAAATCAGTAAATGGGCAGTTTCTTGTACTAAATTGATAGAATAAATGGAGTTCTAAAGAAATAGTTATGAGTTTGGTTGACTGGAACAATGGAACTTGCCAAAAACAAGGCTGAAAGTGGGCAAAATTGCAGATTCATAAATATTGCCAAGGTCACTAACTTTGCGAGAGTGTAATTCCATAAGTTTTCCATCAAATTTTGATGTCATTACCATTGGGAAAACATTTTCTTTAATTTCATAAGAAAAAAATAATTTTTTCTTTTTTAAATATTTTGTGACATCAGGAAACACCTGAGGATTTGGGGTTGTGATAGTCAAAGGGTTAATAACCCTTTGAGGGTCCACAGGTCCTCTCAGAGACTTGTTCTCAGGGTCGGCCAAATTTAAAAAAAAAAAATAATTTTTTCTTATGAAAAATAGTTTTTTTTTTTTTAATATTATAGGCTAAACAAAAAATTTTTACCATCAATACTTACCGAGATATGGAGGCGTAAAGTTGATGAAAAAGGGGGACAATGTGGCAACATCGCCGACTGTCATCTCCCGGTATTCTTTTATTTACTTTCTTATGTACTAATTTCTATTATTTTTTAATTTTTCTTTTCCAAGTAACTTTTATGGCCTGTGAGACCAATATGATCAGTATTTTGTAAGCTTTTTCTTTTTCAATACTACACAATAAGGGCACAAACACTGTTGTCATTGTTTTGTTTATAAAAAATATTTACACAAACAAACGATATGAAATGTTGTTTATTACTATTTTTCTATATTTTATATACACATATACAGTCACAGGGAATGTTTCTAGAAGTTCTGCAGTCTGCGGAACTCTTTGAAACATGGTGTCATGCACAGTGGTGTTTTACACTCCTCACACATAAAACGAGTGTCTCTGCATTGTTGTGGGCGTTTCCTTGTATGTGCACAGACGTAACACCTCTTCTGAGCCTTTTTCTTGAAAGCAGTAGCAGGCAGTTTTACTAGCAAGTGATCACCATGCTTCAGACGAGAAGGTAGTTGTTGATAATTTGGTTGGCGGTCTATTGCAGGTGTTCTTTCTTGGTACTTGAATACTATTTGTCTGATGACAAACAGAATCTGCCATATGATGGTTTGTTTCTGGTCCTAATCTTATACATATTATAAGCATTGAGCATGGAAATGTCCAGAAGATGGAAAAAGAGTTTATGTACCACTTATAACTCTTGCGAACACAATCAGCAAACCCAATCTGCATGTCACATTTGTCCACTGAACGCATATTGAAGGTGTAATCAATTACAGCTGCAGGTTTTAGAATGGGTTCATTGCTCTCTCTGTGCTGTCTGCCATTTCATTAGAGTGAACTGATGACAACAGTGTGACATCTCATTTGTCATGCCACTGAAATGCCATGATGTCATTGGCAGCAAACGCCTGCACCTCACCTCTACGAGTGCCAGCGTTAAACCTGGGCATATGTTTCTGATTTACATGCGCTGTGCCACACACATCTGTCATGTTCACTCGCAAAAAATCACTGAGTGAGGGGCTTGTGTACCAGTTATCAGTATATAATATATGCCCCTTACCAAGGTATGGTTCTATCATTGTTCTAACCACATCACCAGAGACGCCCAATAACTTCATGGTATTTTGCAATGTATAACTTCCAGTGTACACAATAATATCCAATACTAACTTTATACCAAAGCGTTTCCTATTGCTTGGTATGTACTGCTTGAAAGAGAGTCTTCCTTTGAACAGAATCAAAGACTCGTCAATTACAAGCTTCCTGAAGGGATAAAAATACATATTGAATTTCTCTTTCAGATACACAAACACATTCCTAATCTTATATAACCAGTCAGTTCTGTCAGGCCTGGTTTTTTCTGAGAAGTGAAGCATACGTAACATTAGCACAAATCAATTCACTGGCATTATATCACTGAAACCTGGGGTTGCAATCAGGCGGTCTGTTGACCAGTATGATTTCACTTTGTGCTTATACGCATGTGGCATAAGCATTATTGTGGCAAAGAAAAGATACATCTCAGCCACAGTTGCCTCCTTCCACTGGTGTAGATGTGATTTTTGGTGAAAGTATTGTGTTTGCCATGGTGTACTCGTAGTATGTGTTGCTTTCCATGACAATACTTTCCATCAGGGTTTCGTCAAAGAATAACTCGAAACATTCCAGTTCAGTGGCATTGTTCCCAAGTGTACAAGATGGCCATATTCCACTTTGGCTGTCATCAAACTGGTGGGCATTTGGAACAAAATTGACAGCTTCTTGCCAATCCCAGGTGCAGTCTGCTGGTGGGTACTGGACAATGACAGGTGGTTGTGGTTGTGGAGGTTGTGGTTGTGGAGGCTGGTGTGGTGGGTGGGTGGGGGATGGTGGCCTTTGTTGTAGATCAGCAGAGGCAGCGGCATGGGTGGCAGCATGGCCCACTGCTGGTGTCTCACAGCCGTCACCACCATGCACATTTTCCATCCCAATTGCAACACTATCATCGTCATTTTCACTGTCTGTTCCTGTTGTACAGCCATGGGATGTACTCCGAGATGTACTCCTTCCCCTTGGAATAGCATATGGCACACTACCAAAGTGCATATATCATCGTATATACTGACGCTTCACTGGGGTTAGTTTAATATCTTTATTATGCACACCATACCCATCCTGTGGGCGGTAGTCAAAAGATTACAAAGGTACATAATGGGTCCAGGGACTGGACCCCTTCACTGGGGAATATTCCACTTCACTATCACTACTGGAACTGTTTTCAAGAGCTTGTAGTTCATAATCACTATCACTATCATCACAAATGCTCACATCTGAGTCTGGGATTTGGGAAAATAGGAGTTTCCTCTTTGATTCTGGTACAACTGAACGTAAACAAGACGGCCCAGCACCAGTGGTAGAAGGCTGAGGGTCGTCTGGGTTTTCCTCACTATTTCTGATATTATGGTCATTAGTTTCGGTCAAAACTTCACCAAAACCTTGAAACTCATCTTCAATGGCACTTCCATCTGTATTAGAACTGTCACTGGGGAAGAAAAGTGTCCCAATTTGCCGAGGAGTGAGGAACTTCTTACCGCGAGGCATGGTGGACATTGTGTACTAAGATGGCATTCCCACAATGCACCACTGGGTCCCAGATTTTTTTCTGCCATGCACACCGACCACACAGACCCATTCTCTCACATCTAGGCCTACCAGCCTTTTCCCGCGAGATTTGACGGTTAGAATTTATGCGTACTAGTATGTCAAAAACCCTGCACGTAAGCCATACTTGTACGTCCGAAACCCTCAAAGGGTTAGAGATTAAAGACATTTTGCAAAGTGGGGTGAAGTGCAAACATTTGTGGAGGAACATCACCCTAACCCTCTCCCCTCCTCCCGTCTTCCATACACCAAAAAGAGTCTTCAATAAAGGTAAGTGTGATGTTAAATGATCTTTTATACATTTTATTATTGCTTTATATTGATTTCTCATTCCTTTATATATGTAAATCTATATTAATCCATAAAAAAATATTTTTGGGTGTCTGGAACAGATTAATTGGATTTACATTATTTCTTATGAGAAAAATGGTTTCGATTCTCATGAATTTCGACTTTTGGTAGACTCTCTGGAACAGATTAATCACAAAAATCGAGGGTCCACCATATCTGTAACTCTCACAATCATTAAACAATTGTGTACACTTTAGGTTTATAATGAAACTTGTAATTCCTCTCAAGTAAACTTGTTAAAGTCATGTAGTCTGAACTAATACAATATTCACTTATATTTTATTAATTGTAAATACCTAAATTTACACTGTATTGTTATTGCCTTATTAATCTTAAGTTTGGCCAAAATGTTCTGCATATATAGTGGCTTTTGTCATTCTCCTTTGTTCAAACACTATCATGCTGAAGCAAACATTATCATAACACTGTACACCTGTGATAATGGTGCTGGCACTGTATATGGGTGATAGTGATACTGGACACTTGTCATAATGGTGCTGACACTCTACATGATAGTGACACTGTACACTTGTAATAATGATGCTGAGACTGCACATGGGTGATAATGGTAGTGATACTGTACACAGGTGATAATGGTTGTGACACTGTGAAGAGGTGATAATGGTGGTAACTGCCCACAGATTGATTATCTTCGTGGGATGAGTGAGAGCGTCAAGAGGCTGGTGGAGGCTGGCCTGGTGTTTGGTGTCCAGCAAGACCGAGATGACCTGCGCTACTCCAGGATAACTTTACAAGATGGTCAACTGTATCTCCACGTTCTCCAGCACCAACCACCACCCACCCACGCCCACACTATCCAGGTACTTTATTACACTACCACACTTACTGTACCACCACACTCTCCAGGTACTTTATTACACTACCATTCTTACTGTACCACTACACTCACCAGGTACTTTATTACACTACCATTCTTATTGTGCCACCATACTCTCCAGGTATTTTATTTCACTACCACTCTTACTGTACCACCACACTCTCCAGGTACTTTATTAGATTACCACTCTTACTGTACCACCACACTCTCCAGGTACTTTATTACACTACCACTCTTACTGTACCACCACACTCTCCAGGTACTTTATTACACTACCACTCTTACTGTACCACCACACTCTCCAAACTATTGTACCAGCACCTACCCACTTAAGCCTACACTCTCCACTACTGTACCAGCACATACCCACCTACACCCACACTCTCCACACTATTGTACCAGCACCTACCCACCTACAACTACACTCTCCACTATGGTACCAGCACCTTCCCACCTACACCCACGCTCTCCACACACTACCCTACCAGCATCTACCCACCTTCACCTACACTCTCCACTGCTGTGGAGTCAGGAATTGCATTAAGAACTAAAAGCCATAAATGAAATTGAAAGAAACCCAAAGTATTTTTTTTCTTATGCGAAATCAAAGTGGAGAACAACATCCAGTATTGGGCCCCAACTTAAGTAAGTAAGTAAGTAAGTAAGTTTATTCAGGTATACACAAATACAGTTACATAGAATTATCATATATAGCAGCATATGTGTAGAGAACCTAGGATAACCCAAAAAAGTCAGACAGAGTGACTTATTTCCATTGGGGTCCTTTTACCTTATTATTATAGTATAAAGGCTATAATATTTTCTTATTGTTCTACAATGAAGATAACATCTTATTATCATACTAAAAAGACTATCTGCGACACCAAGGTCATTAAGACTATCTACAATACGAGGGTCGTTACAAGGAATAAGGTAAAATTTACACGTATGTTAGCTAAAAAATAGAAAATCATTCCCCTCCCTTTCTGTAGCTACATTCATCAGACACCTTTTGGCACTCTTCTTGAACTAGTTCACGCTATGACTGGCTTTGACATGTGCGGGTAGTCTGTTCCATTCCTTTATTGCTGTACAATAAAAGGTGTTTGAAGCCTGGCCACTGACTGTGGGTACTGCAAAGTTGTGCTCTCTCCCCCTAGTTCTATGATTGCTTTGGTTCCCAGCCTTGACAAAATTGACAGCAAGATATTCTGGACATTGCTTGTGAGCAATTTTATAAACATGATTTAGCTTCAGTTGTTTTACTCTGTCTTCAACATTCAGCATATCCAACTGCTGTAATTCATCCTGGCCTACATGTTCTCTTGGTCCCAGCCCCAGGATGAATCTTACGATTTTGTTCTGGGTGATTTGCAGTCTATCTTTCAGTTTTTTTGTCAAGGCAGAGTACCAAGAAGAGCAAGCGTAATCCATATGGCATTGTATAAGGGCTAGACATAGAGTCCTGCGAGCCTCAGTAGGTAGACACTGTGCTTGTCTATACAGGAACTTCAGTCTGGCATTCGCTTTCTTTACTACACTGTTCCCTATCAATTCTCCTGACATGCATGGGTCAAAGGGGATTCCCAAATATTTTACTGATGAAACCAAAGTGATGGGCTCCCCATTACATTGAACATTAAAATTATTTACCCTTCTCAGTTTATGCTTCGTGCCAAAGAGAATGGCTTCAGTTTTCCCACTTAACCCCAAAGATGGGTTCTACAGATGACAGAAAGGGAAAAGGGGTGAGCTACTCAAGTCCCAGTATGACTCATTTTTAGCAGCCACTAAACAGACTGAGAATAAAAGCCCTAAATAAGTTTTTTGAGGCCAACAGAATTTGGAAACACAACCTATTATGTTATCCGATGCCAAATGACTTCAAACAGGCGATAAATACATGCCTTCACTCGTCCCAGGCCCAACTCATGAACTTGTTCTAAAGAACTGCAAGAACCATTCACATGTTTTTTAAACCCTTTCAGAGTCCACAGGCCCCTTTTTCAGTGACTTGTTCCAGGGTCTCCCAAAATTTGTAAAAAAAAAAAAAAAATTTTTTCTTATAAAAGAAGAAATCTTTTTCCCGATCTAATGACACCAAAAGTATGAAATTGACGAAAATTCCGGGAATTATGCTCTGCAAATTTAGGGTCTGCGTTTTACACATGGGCGTTTTTGCCCCTTTGACCCTTTTTTTCGGCCAATTCCAATGTACTAGTTGACAAAAATCATAACTTTTTTGCTAAAAACTCCATTTTTTTTTTCTATCGAATGAGTACAAAAACCCCCATTTTCCGTTTAAACTATCTAATACAGGGGTAAATTTTTAGCAATTTTGCAATTTTCACACAAATTTCAAAGATGAAATTTTCCAATAGGCCAAAAATAAACAAGAAAGAATTACGGGCACTAAAATAACATTTTCTCTTTTCATTAGTCTGCCCCCCAGGCCCCCTTACTTTTTTTTTTTGCTTTTCACTTTGAATTTTTATTTAACAAAAAAAAAAACGATTTACTGATAAAGGGGCTACGCATTAGTGTAAAATGGTATAAAAATATCGGAGCACTTGTGAAAGAATATTAATTTAAAACCCCCAATTGACGGTATTGGACGCTTAGCATGATTTTTTTACTTTTGAAATTTGGTAAAATCGAAACATTTGCACTTTGGCTAATTTTAAGGGACTTTTCATTGTAAAACCCGTCAAAATCACTCAAATTTTTGTAAAAGCCTCCCCTTTTAACAAAGAGACCCGGAAAAATAAATCAAAATAAATACCATACAAAAATATAGTTTTAAAAGTCACGTTTTAATCCAAAAAAAACGGGCAAAGTTTTTTTTTTTATTACGCACTGTGTGCTGCAGGTTTTTTTTTTACTGTGCACACCCGGCCACATAGACCCCCTTTTTTTTTTTTCAAGTAGGGCCCACCGCTTTCTTCATAGATTTGAAGGCACTGAATTTTTTGCTACTTGTATCATGGACAATGGTGCAAAACCGTACTAGTAATTTCCCAAAACCCCGAAAGGGGTTTAAAATCCTGTGGAGAGGGAGCATGACAGGGCCCCACAGTTCTAAAAACAACGCATGCCCCTTCCACAAAGGGGGCAGTAAAGCAAAGCAAAGAACTACAGATCGATAGCGCTAAAAATCCCATATCATAAAAATTTTTGAAAAGGGGCCAAAAAAGCAAATTTTCTACCCCTAGATACCTATCAATTAACAAACCAAGTTTTTAGCAGGTTGCTCCTGTCTGTCCCAACTTCTGGGCACTTCAACAAATCCTGGATCCCCAGAAGACAAAAAGAAGCAGATGTAATATACACAGACAAATGTGACCGGTGTAAAAGCGCACAAAATGCGTGCTAAAGGAAAAACAGGAAAAGTTGGTAGATGGATCTTAAAATTTTCCTGACAAATAGAAAAAAAAAGATTTGTAGTAAACAGAGTAAATCGAGGTGGCTGGGTGTAAGTTCTTTTCCCGCAAAGCACAGTATCCTCCCATTTTGTTCCCTCATTCTATACAGACATAAAAGGGATATAAGCCAAGTGCCATGTCTTCCTTTGTAAAAAACCCCTAAATCTGCATGAATGTCTTCCATTGCAGACACTGAAGGTCCAGGTGGCATGACGAAATCTTTAAATGGGCTGAGAAAACAATTGAAGTTCAACGATAAAAATTAAATTATTCCGATATGGAAAATGTGGGGAAATTAAAAACTTCATAGAGTTTTAAAAACAAAATTCCAACCACACAATAGAGAAAAAAAACTGAGTAAAGAATGGGAGTGTATGTCAGAGGATCTCCTTAAGGGACCAAAACATTGTACAATTGTCTACAAAAAAATACGGGATTGGAAAAGAGAACCTTCAAAACGGGGATCCCAAGCCCTTGACACTCTTCGGGTCACTTGTTCATCTAGGTGGAATGATTAAGAAAATCGAATGACACGATTGCAAATAAACCATACCCCCGGGCGGGATTAAACCCGCGGTCATAGAGTCTCAAAACTCCAGCCCGTACGTTAGCCACTAGCCCCAGCTAGCCACAAAAAGATTCACCAAATAGGTATTTTTTCTACCCCATAGGAAGGTTAGCACAGGCACCCTGTGACCACAAATGCAAAGCTTTTACAGACGAATCTCCAGCTAAATGGCCGTGACGAACCCAGCCAAGTCCCTTTCCCGCCGTAAAGGGGTGGGTTTTGAGAGACTATGACTGCGGGTTCAATCCCCACCCGGGGGGGATGGTTTATTTTCAAAAGTGTCATTCGATTTTTAAATCAGTTGACGGCGTGAAGGGATTTATAGAGTTTTGTCACGGCCACGCTAGCTGGAATTCGTCTGTAAAAACTTTCATTTGGGGGTCAGAGGTGCCTGTGCTAACCTTCCTTGGTGTAAAAATACCTGTTGGATGATCTTTTGTGGGGTACTGGTCTAGTGGCTAAAGTGACAGGCTGGAGTTTGAGACCCTTGCCCGGGGCAAACCCGGCGGGGGGTTTTGGTTTTTTTTTTGGTGGAAATTGCGCACACTAAAGCACCCTTTTAATTACAGGAAACTTTGAAGTTCCCCGAACCTGTACCCCTGGCAGGCGGAGAGATGATGATTATGTACATGGAAAATCCAAGGGGTATACAAAAATTGCACACAAAAATCACTCCTACGAAAACAAAAAATGGCAGATATGCAAAAATCCCCCCCAAAGAAAAAAAGGGGGGGCCACAGCATGTTAAGGTCAACACAATAAGTGTCGGGGGCCCCAAAATGCTCACTGCCCCAGTATACATAAGGGGGTTTGAAAAGACCCCGGCTGTCTTCAAGAGGCACTGGGGGAAAAGCATCTTAAGTCGGGGGCCTGACCAGCCCGGGTGTGGGTTTGAATTGGATTGCATGCAGTGCAGTAACAGCCTGGGTATCGGGGGCCCGATCCCACCATGAAGCCTGGCAGGATGGGTCAATAGGGGATTTCCCCCGGAACTCACTCCAGGTAAAATCCCGGTTCCTTGGACAAAATGCTGCAATAATGATGTGTTTGTGTCAAAAAAAAAAAATCCAAGGTGGTTGGGTGTCCTGGGGGTTAAACCCATCCAGTAATGCTTTAAACATGATATTGCTGCATTGCAATAGTTTTCACCAGCTGGCAAAAAATTCTTGAAAACAAGTCTTGGAAAACATTTTTAGTTACCCATGTTTTCCTATTTGGGGCCCAAAGAACTGGAAGCAATAAATGGTTTATTTTCCCAGGTGTGGGTTTTTGGAGACGATAAAAAAAGCATTTTTTCAGTACAGGAGCCACACAAAAATCCAGCAATCATAATCTCTTCCCCAGTAATCAACAGTAATTTTTCTAGCTTTAATTTCAAATTTCTCATTTTCTGACTAAAATTTCATCATTTTGCTGACTCAAAAAAATTGTGCAGATAGTTGTAAGCCAGAGCACAAACCGGGTGGGGAAAAGCAGTGATAAAAATGGGAAGTTTTTAGCAGAAAGTCTCTCCATTGCAAGTTACAGGTATTGTATTTAAACCCTCCCCCATTCCCTTTGCGCGGGTTTTTTATCATTTTTTTTTCAGGGTCTCTCTTGATATTAGAACTTTAAACTGTCCCAGTAAAAATAAGATATGTCGCCAGCCTTAAAAATTATCTAGCAGAAAAAAAAGTTACTAGCGAAAAAGGAGAATCATGTACAATAGAAAAATTTACCTACTCTCGAAGGGAACTTGAGGCCTAGAGGCCCAGGGGAAAAATAATTTTTAAACTTTTTTTGTCAGGGGAAAAAGACATTTCCCCTGAAAATATTGTTTTACATAGTGCATAGTGTTCCCACAGGGGTTTTCCCGGTTTATAGGATATAAAGGAAAAGGTAAAATTTTTAAAACGGAAGTTTTTGGGCCAAGAGACGGGTTCATTTTAAACAGTTCCCACAGTCATCAGAACCTCCCACGTAGGTCTGCTATGCCCCGGGACTTAAAAATTTAGTGGTTCCAGGGAGTAAAATATTACTTTGAAATGGAAGAGGTGCAAATTCTTGGGAAATAGAAAGTGTACTTTTTGGAAATTGAGAACTGTATAGTTGTTAGCTGATTGTGGGAGAATGAAACAGTGTGTGGTAAACCTTAGTTAGCACAGTCACATATAACAAAAAAAATCATTATTCCCCAGTATTCCCATATATGAAGCCTCGCCCCCAAAAAACCGCAAGTTATACTTTCTGTTCAAACTGACGAAATTTTACTCGTTTAATTTTTTTTTCCAGTATCCTTTTACGGCTAGCAAATATTATTTTAGTGAGCTAATTGGATCTGCCCAGTTCATCCAGCAACCCAAAACAAATGGGTTTGTTTATAACAATGTATCCCCTGCTGGGTTTTCCCAACGATGGGCTCACATGCCCATCAAACACTCAACAAAAAATACAACAAATAGTTACAAGACAATAGGGAAATTTTACTGTTTTGATACTTATTAGGAAAAAATAACAGTAGCCCTAGCCAGATTCTTCCCGATTCGCTGGATTTGCGCTGATTCAAAATGGTCTCTTCGAAATATAGCCAGATTTTGGCAGATTAAAAATGGTTTTGTTGGAAAAAAAGCCAAACCAAAGAATGTACAGAAAATTTAAATACAACAAATAGTTAAAATTCAATTGACAGATCTATGTTA